AGCACGGATAATGGAGGAGGGATCCACGAGTAATTACAGTCTGCTTAATTAGGGATGATGGATAGAGAGGACCCGGCGACTCGGCACAGCTCGCGTGCTGCAAAGGGGCCTTGCTCCTGCCACCGTCACCTTCATTTGCTGCGTTAGGGAGTGAATAAAAATGGAATGGGATGCGTGTGTTTAGTGTTATAGGGGGAAAGAATAAAAACGCGGCAGCACGTGTGTGTATAATGTTATAGGGGGAAAGACGAGCAGGGAACGGCTCTCGCAGGGGTTTCCCGCATGGTGAGCCCGGGCACCGTGTCCGCGCACTGTTTCTGTACCGTAATGCAAAACTATTTTATCGCCCGCTGGAGGAAAAAAAAAAAGGGAAGTGCCTAAATAGTCATTTATTAACAGCTGTAAGTATCGCTAGGCATCGAGATGTGGTAAAATATAGATTGCACTGGGAAGAGCCGAGTATCCGCGTGCCATTTCTCCTGTTCAGCACGTCATTACACATCCCGTCGTGGCATATCACCGCCGTGATTAGTAGCATCAAATGACTTCTGAAAAATGATTATGTGCCATTAAAACCATTAGTCTGTCTGAAACCAGCACAAACAAATGGCCGTGCTGGGGATGAGTCATTAGTTCTGGAGCGGGATGATGTGACAGGAATCCCGGGAAGCGCCGGGGAAGGAGCACGCGCAGTGACGGGGACGAGAGGGCCAGCAGGCTGGAAAGGAGCCCTTTCCTATGGGAAGTGCCTGAGGAATGTGGAAGCTGCCAGAGCCCCTGGCAGGGGAACTCATGGGAGAGCCCATTCCCATCATCCGCTCCTGGGAATCTCTGTCCCCATCGTCCCTGCCCGTCCCCAGCTGCAGCTCTGAGAGGAGCCGGGGAGCCTCCACCTCAGCCCCATCACCCCAAACCCACCTCCCATCATGGCAACTCCATCATCCCAACCCCAGCAGCCTGGACCATCATCCCAAATCCGCCAGCCCAGCGGCTGTTGACCCGGTTCCGTCACCCCAAACCCATCACCCCAAACGCGTCAACCTGGACAAGCTCCATCATCCTCAATCCATCACCCATCCCTACCATCCCAATCCCATTGCTCCCACCTCATTGCCCTAGTTGCTCCAGTTCCAGCACCAGTGCCCTGTCCCCATCCTCTCACCCACAGCCGTGCCCACAAAGCGCCAACCCGCAGCCCCTGCTCCCATCCCTGCTGCTTCCGCACTGTGAGGACATAAATCCACTTAATGCGTCCAAAGAAGAAAAATCAAAATGTCACATCCATGGAGATGGTTCAATTGAAGCAATATTGATTGTCACAGAGAATATTCCCACTTTATTCACCTACTTAGTCCCTTCCCCTAGGCACGTATGAATTCATCAAATATTGTCACACCGCATAATAACGCTTGTTCCCGGGTGTTGTTGCGGCAGCTCAGACTTGGTCCTGCCTTCACGGGCAAGGAGGAATTTCAGGAAGAAAGACTTTGCCATCCTGGCCAGGGATCCGCAGCACAACTACCCACAGGGCTGGCTTTCTTTTGTTTCAATTCATTGGATTTTTTTTCCAATGAAAGGTTGGAAAAGAAGTGGGGAGAAAAAGCCATTTTCTCTTTGTTTGCAGCCTTTTATTGTCACTTCTCTGCTGCCTCTCTGCAGCTCTGGGAGCTCCACGGAGCTGGTACTGAGGAGCACTGGGCATTTACCCTTCCTGCTCCTTTTCTGGGGCAGGGAAACAGGGTGGAGAAGGAGAAAATAAAGCGAATAGGTAAATTTAGAAAAGCAGTAAGACAGCAGCATTTCTGAAGAGGAAGGCAGACGTTTCCTCCCAAACCAGCCCAGCTGCTGGGCCTAATACCCTGCACAGTGCCCAGCACAGCACGAGAAGGGGAGGGAGCAGGTGCTGCCACTGATTCCTGCCAGGTACCAGGGTGCTGCTAATTGCATTGGTCAATTAAGAAAGGCTGGAGCAGAGTCTGGGAGGAGGGGATAAAAGGACTGGGCTGGGGGCTTCCTGTGGGATGTGGATCTGAAGGAATGGAGGGTGCAAAAACCTGGGGAGCAGGTAGGATGTGGGAGCTGTGGGCATGGAGAGTGCAAGATTCCAGGAAGCAGGTGGGATGTGGGAGCCATGGAGGGTGCAAGATTCCAGCAGCTGGGATGTGGGAGCCATGGAGGGTGCAAGATTCCAGCAGCTGGGATGTGGGAGCTGTGGGCATGGGTCTGAACCTCAGTGAAGGTGCTGGGTCATGTTATCATGTTGCTCTGCACACAGGGGGATGTGACATCCTCCTGAAGGCTGGTGGCACAAGGTGCAGCTGTGCTGGGGTGCAGGACCCCGCTGTGTGGGCTCCCCTGGGCCTGAAACAACAGGAAAGTGTATTTCAGTGCCCCAAGCTGTGCTAGCTTGGTGGTGCTTGTGTGCTAATCTGATTGTGAGTAATGATTTAATCTGCTAACTGCCCCTGATTCAATCTGTTCCTCCTGGGTTTAATCTCCTCTTGCTGCTCACACCTGATGTGCTGATTTATCCCCAGTGGGGCTGGGCTGGTGGATATGCAGGAGGATGCCTGGCTTGGTCCTGGCATGCTGGGATCGGGTGCCTGGAGCTGCCCTGGCACTGTGGATGGAGCAGATGCCAGCGCATCCTATCTGC